ACAGCAGACAACATGGCCGTTATGTTTCATCCGTCCTGGCATGACCATACCAAAGCACTATGATGTTTTATACTGTTATTCGCGAGTGAATGACGCTATTTGTTTTGCACCGAAGCACAGTGGAGTCAGAACCTTGCTCAAGGGGATTAGGAATTAATAATATAAAATGAATTCTGCGCATGCGCTTTGAACCAGAACCTCAAAATAAAAAGTTAACATCTAACCGATTGTGCCACTGTGTTCGCTGGACCAAAGTACATGAACTGTAACAAAAGTTTTCTGTGCACAAAGCAGCTCAGTGGGATGCTAAGGAATTATCCAAGATCAGGTTTCATCCGGCCTGGCACTCCTGTTCAGCTAACGTATCAGCTCATGATTCATAACTATTTTATACAATCGTGAAATATGTTAGATAAAAAAATGTAATTAAATCCGGTTGATCCCGTAGACTGAAGCTACTTCCAACTTTTAAGTATCCAAAATAGTGTATGTTAAGAAGAAACGAAAATTACAGCGACAGCAACAAAAACCGAGAAATTTCATTAACAGAGCAAATAAACATGTCAGTTGGGATAAACTAAAAATTTATAAAAACGTAAAACATACCGTGCAAAGGAGCACAAATCATATACTAAAAAATAGCTGCTGGTGCGAAGTAGCAGTAGCGCGAAAGAGTGCGTCTCGAATAGTTCGGTCAGTCGATCAGTCGTCCTTGGACCGAAAAAGAGCCACCGGAAAGTGCTTGACGTGCGTCTGCCACTGCGACGAAACCTGGAAGAACTTTACGTTGTTCCACTCCACTCCGTCGATGTACACTATAAATACGTTGCCTAACATGGACGTCAATCATTCTCTAACATTCTCATACATTTTAGAGTTGTGTGCTGCTTGGTGCTGCATATGAGACGGCTGATACCGTCAATGCACTGGTTCTTCTGCTCACTCTCGATTCTTTCCTTCGTTCGCATGCCCAACTTCTGTAGCACTGTAAAAGAGACGGATCACTAAGGTGTACGGCAAAGCTAAACTAAACTGTTTTGTGCTAAGCATCAATCACAGTGCAATGGACTGTACATTAGTCTAACGAGTCTTTCAAATGTTGTCCGAAGCGCAGGTGAACAAGAGCACAAACCGAGGATGTAAGAATATAAACTAGAGTAGGAGAAGCATGAGAAGGTCAGTAAAATAATAAGCTACACGACTAATTGAGATTGGCAGGAGAATCCTTTATACAAGGTCAATATGCAAGAAAGCGAAGCAGGAAATCACGAGCTGCGAATACTGTCTTTGTAACTAAAGCACTTCTGGCTGATAATATGAAAACAAACAGCGATGCCATAGGCTCCATGAGCAGAGAAAGCACAAATAATAAGAGTAACGAAAGAATAAGGACAGCATTGCCTATCAATTTCTTTTACAATTACATTAGCAGCACCCTTCTTTAATGAAGCTGAGAGTGAAACGCTGATCTCCGTTTCGATGTCATGAGGTATGACTGCTGCGCTGCTTTTCTGTTTTAAAGCAATGCCCACAGCAAGGGGACCATTACAGCGTGAAGTTTGCTGTTTATTTCCTATAAAACTCATCTACTTTAGAGGAACGAAAGCCAATAGCTTAAACAAGGCTCCAATTATGTGTGAATCGCCTCTATGAGTTCGACTACATATGACTGTGATATAACCTTATCCTAATGCACGCAAAACGAATTACCCAAATTACACCACCGATGATGATTCGATTATTGCCTGTAATGGCATTGCGATATCGTAACAGTATTCAAACCGGATAAACCATCTCTTCAAGAAGCAGCCGTCATTCGGTTCAGCAGCTGGCTCTTTGCCGTCAAGGTAAGGAAAAGTAACCGTAGCGCTTTAACTCAGGGCAAACGCATAACGGTCGAACTGTCTGTACATCCGAGAAGAGTTACGATGCAGAGACAAAAATTTGCTGATCACTTCAGTGCCCTCACTACTTAATTAATTGAATAGCCTCTAAGAGCGATAAATAATTGAAAACCACGGTAGTTTATGCGTTCTTGACAGAAATGAGTATCGGTTTTCCAGTGACAGCATGGATCCTGAGCGGGAGAGTTGGAAGCCTCCCTCGTTACATTTACTGTGAACATAGACAGATAATAAATAATCTGCAAGGCACTAACGTGAATAACGAAAATCAGGAGCCTACATAAACGACGACCGGTCGAAAAGCCGCATCAAAAAAAGGTCGTTCGGTACGGATAGACGCATCTCGGTTATCAGCTTAACGTTTCAAAAAATTTTTTCTTCATATTAACCTACTTCAACGTCTCGTGTTTCATTGGGCACTTTAAACAAACTTGAAATGACTTCACAAAGATTCGTAAGTCGTTACAGTCTCCGTGAATTTTACCGATAAAGTTAAACACTAAAGCTCACGCACTTTTCTCCTTCTTGCGTTCCTTGACAAACTGCAACGAAAGGTAGTTCTGTGAGGTTGAGGTGGACTGCGGCTCGCTCAAGAGGTTCGAGTAACACAGAGGTGACTTGCAAACGACCAGTGACCGAAACAGCATTTTCAGCGAATACTTCGACAGACCGGCCGAGTCTTTACGACTATTTCCAGCCTCCACACGCGGCGAAATTGGAAACGATGCTAGAGTAAAAAAATAGTAAATGCAGATCACTTCCGTCTTAATGTATCGAAACAACTACGTCTTATGTAAACAAGGAAATATTAAAAATATAGCAATTCATAAGGAGTTATAGCTGATTCGTAGGAAAGCATTCGCAAATGCGTCCAAGCCATGTGGGTAGACAGTATTAGTACATAATCATATTAACTGCGGAAAGTATTAGTCCGCGGTTGTATTACTGCTTCGAATTCATTTTAGGAACTTCGGCTAAAACAGAATGAACTAATAACTTCCAAGCACAGATGCGACAAAAGGAATGGTGCACCTGACAATACAACTAAATTAAAACAAAGGCATGTACCGTTGCCTAGTTAAATCATCTACATTCAT